AACTTTATTCTTTCTCCATTTTTGCACAGAAAAGTGACTGTCCGTTGTAGGGAGGTGTCCGTTGCAGGGACGTGTCCGTTGTAGCAAGGTGTCCGTTGCAGGGAGTTGTCCATTGCAGGGAGTGCAGGGAGGTTTCCGTTGCAGGAAGATGTCAGTTGCAGGGAATGCAGGGAAGTGCCCGTTGCAAGGAGGTGTCCGTTGCAGAGAGGTTTCCATTATAGGGAAGTGTCCGTTGCAGGGAGTGCAGGGGGTGCCCGTTGCAGGGAGGTTTCCGTTGCAGGGAGATGTCAGTTACAGGTAGTGTAGGGAAGTGCCCGTTGCAAGGAGGTGTCCGTTGCAGGGACGTGTCCGTTGCAGGCTGGTGTCCGTTGCAGGGAGGTGTCCGTTGCAGGGAGGTGTCCGTTGCAGGCAGGTGTCCGTTGCAGGAAGGTGTCCGATATATTGTGGTACCCTTTTTAGGAGGTGCGCATCATCTGAAGGACATCTTGAAGCTTTTCCAGGTGATGGTAGAGAATTTTAGGAACAGAATTACTTGTCAGTTGTTTGAAGGCTTCAGTTGCTAAGATATTTGCTTGTCAAATTACAATACGTTGTAATGAAGCCCAAGTTCAGAAGTACAAATGTTCTCCGAAGTCTCCTTCTTCGATTTTAATATCAACGCAATCCTCTTGTTTAATTCTATTCTAACTTCTTTTACAATAGAATTGAGCTCTTACAACCATCAAAGCACATGACTGCAAACCCATTGCTTGTTCCAAATAACGCAATGTTTGTTCCGAACCTCTTTTTGCAATTATTCCTCACTTACCACGTTTAGGACTGAAAATTCTCATTCGCAATCAAAATTTTCCGCTTTCAAATGACATCTTAACATAGGTTAAAGAGTCAATACGACTTTATGAATTTAGCTATCACGAACGTAAACATTCTTTCAACATAGCTTGATTCTGAACCAGGCCCATAGACAGCTAAACTGGGTTAGGGGGGGGGGGCATGGATAGAAATATAGCTTTTTCTACACCTGCCTTACGAAATACTGTCAGATCAAGCTGGGCTTATAAGATCTTCAAACACAATTTTTGCAAGTAATTAGGGGCATTGCCCCCCTGCCCTAAGCGTCTAAGGGCCTTTTCTGCACTAGCAGTCTATAGTTTCATCAACTACGCTGTACTATCAGTGAAACTTCAACCAATGGAAGCGTAAGACTCAAATTGCGTAGAATGTCGTGGAAGGGTTCAAAATTCTTTTCAAGTGCTGGTTCTTGTATCGGATTAGAATTATATTCATTTGCATGCCTTTTTTGTTTTTATACGGGCTTTAAGAACATTTTCAAATTATCATAGTATCGAAACCCTATGTGAGACTCACGACTGTCTGGATTTCTACATAAATGATTGGATGAGATATAGAGTTATTAAGAAGTGTTTCTTTTAGAATCTGGATTTTCCAGTCTGCGTCTGTGCTGGGAAAGTGAAAGTCATTTCTTATATTGTGATTGTCATTCTCGATAAAAACAGTATTGATTTCACGCGTAAGTACAATTCTGCTTTAGAGAATTCCCCGTCAAAGCTTTAGAGAATTCCCCTTCAATTGCTGTTGTTCCTATAAACCAATGACCAATGAACTGGCAAAGAGAACTTTTCTCTTTTGCAATTTGATAGTCGCAGTAATGCTAGCGCAAATATTTTCAAGGTATATTTTATTTCTATAGAGACCTCGTGTAAATACATTAGTGACTGTAGGTGTGCGTGCCACTTTGCACAGAAGCGAGCATGCTTACAAAGTGACACTGTTTGAGAAATGTTGAAGTAATCGATCTAGCCTTCGAGATGAAGTGGGCCTAAGTAGCAATGAAATTATTTCCCCATTTTAGTCATCAGTTTTAAAAAATGCCGTAAAATTTTCTGCAGCCAGTCTAATCCACTTTAACATTAATACACAATGCCCAGGTGTTGGGGTGTAGATTTAGGGGCTTTGGGGAAAGGGGGGTCTCAATGGAAAAGCAGGCCTTGATTGAGTGGGTGTTCGACACACTCCCGTTCTCTGTTGTAAACAAACAGAACAGTGAAGGAATAGTATCAGTAAGCTAGTGAGGAGAAGAAGAGGAAGAATGAATGAACAGAGAAAAATTGTCTAATCTACACCGTAAAATTTTTGGTGTCTTGTTTCATATTTGTGTCGTCCAAAAGAGTTAAAAAAATCCATTAAATATAACGAGGCGTGATGTTTGTAATTCTGTTATGACTTGAATTTCCCGTTAAAAGTTTCTAGGGGCGAATTTTGAGCAGTTGCCTTGTGCTCGGTGTTTCATTGCTCTTTCCGAAAGTTTGATTTCACTAGAAAGACACATATAAGGTGTAATTGGTTCTTTAAAGTAAGGTCTATTTATGGTAACAGAAAATTCTTTACAACTTTGCTTTGCGTTTCTCTGAAAACGACAGCAATCAGCGTCAGGGGTGGATCCAGAGCGAATTAAAGGAGGGGCAGTTGGAAGTGGGGGCGCTGAAAATTTTTCAAAAATTGGTAACGAGAGTACGCTGTATACAACAATTTCAGATCCATTTTCGGAATAAACAACATACCTCTGAGGTAATCCTTGAACTAAATTAATCTATCGGTCTCAAAAACTTTTTTACCTGATTCCTCATTCTTCGAAAAGGGTGCACAATTTCCAAAAAGGGGGCGCCAGACTTGCTTCAACTCGTTGAGGGAGGGGCAACTGCCCCTAGTTGCCCCCCTTTAAATCCGCCATTGTTCAGCGTAATAGACAAAGTCTTTTTTGATAAAAGGCAAAATCTTTTATTCTTTCTAAATTCTAAATTCTAAGTATGGGTATTGTAACTTAAGAACTTTTTGTGTGATACTCCTTGGTATCAATGTAAGATAATGACTAAAGGTATGCCCAAATTTTGAGAGGAAGAATAACGCCTCTGATTGGTTCCTTTTGTTACTAATTGGCGGCCGCTTACCTCTCACCTAGCTGAAGAGTCTAAGAGAAAATACGTTCTTCTTCCGTCGATAGTAAAAATATTTTGCCTTGCAAATACTTTTTGGATATTGCATGTAACCTTTACTTCTTGTTTTCCATAATATTTTCCTACATAGCTTAGTTTCCTTTCTTTTGCATCACTTCTTAAAGTGTCATTGCAATCGATTTCTTTAGTATGAAGACAGTCAAATGCAGGAACAACAAGCCTTACCTTTCGTTTGTGTTTCTATCAAAGTTGATGTCTTCTGAAAGCACAAAGTTTCAGGCAAATTTAGATGCTTCAATCACTTGTAAAATTGACTTCTTAGAGTTGTAATGAAACTTTTTTGTCAAACTTTTATCGATTAGCAAGTATTTAGGGAATATTAGGCGAATCTTAGGCAAATATTAAGAAATATTTATCTATAACTTAAGGAATATTAGGTGAAAATGTAGCTTGGGTGTCAAACAAAGAAAAGTCGAATTGACAAATTTTCATTCTTTTGCGAAAAGATTTGGTCTAGCTTGGTACAGCTAGCCCATGGCGATAGTTGCCCATGCCGAAATCCCTTGCAGCTAGATATGGAATCAACTGTCATTCTTATAAGTAACTCCTGGATCATTTTAGAATCTTTACCTTCTGTCTCGATACATCCTTCTCCATTATCACCTTAACATTTACCCCTCCAAATCACGCAGTTTCTTAATCCTATTCAAGTCCTATTCAGCTCTTTAATTTTCTCTTACAAAACTGTAGCTTCTTCTTCACTCAAACGTTCATTTCACTCAAATGAACTATCAAATATTTTTCTTATCACTTAACTATTTTCTCACACCTGTATGGATTCTTCGTTAGCCAATTTCACTTCAAGAAATGGCATGCTACCTTTTTCCTTTGTAAAGCTTCCTCTATAATTTTAACCTTTTTCAAACCATCAATCTGATTTTGTACACATATCCCCCTTTTCTTTACAAAATCGTTGACATTTTGCATTACACTCATTTTTTTATAGGAAAAAAGGTCGATGTTAATACTCCAGTTTCTTAATGTTCTGGAAATTTCAATACTCATTGTTTCTTAAGAGTTTCTGAATTATGATGTCATGAATGATATTATGAAATGTTCGTGACCTTTTTATCACGTCAAGAGATTCGCTTCCGTTCTGATGCTGTATTTAGATGTGGGAGGTATATTTTTATCTCTTGTGTCTTAAATTCTAGGCCAACATGGCAATCATTTTCTTGGATTTTTCAAAGTTTCGTTGTTGTCAGTTTTATCACGACTTAATAGTTCTTAACTTCTTTGTTTCGAGTACTGAAGTTTCTCGACTTTTTCTGACTGTCCAGTACTCGTTTCTTATGGCCAGTTTCGTACAAAAAAAGAGTGTACATAACAATGTTTCTTTCAGATAGTCAATTCCGTGAAACCCAAAATCCCAACAAATTTTACAAATATGAATGCTGCTATGGCATAGTCATTTTAACTTTTTTTTGATTAAATCAAACAATTTCTGAATTCACTCAATGAAACGATGAATCAGTAGGAAAAGTATAGTATCATTTGCGTAATCTTATCGTAATCAGATTTTTCTGGTATAACTTCATTTAAATTGTCAATATGCAATGGCTACCTAAAGTCTTTATTTCTAATTTGAATCTTTGATTATTTTTAACTGCATCCCCCTCTCTCTTTCCGAAAGAATGTTGTTCTTACAAAGTTCAATGGTTGGATGTGGTTTGCGACTTTATTTTCAAAACTGGCCTAATTTAGTACTGCATGGAAATCACAACACAATCAACTCCTCAAGACAGATGCCGCTAAGCATGCCGGTTGCGCAAGAGCTTCAACTCTACACACAACATTATTGGGGAAGGGGAGGGGTGCAGTCTCGGTGCTTTTTAACAGAAAAATATGTTGATTTTCAAAACTATTTCCAAGCAGCAGGGTGTTCTAAGGACTTTTGGAAGGGATTGTAGCAGTTTGTTTCAAATCCGTACATGCAGAGTCTCATGCAAAATAAAAACACCAAAGTACTATGGCTGAGCTCTATTTCTCGATATTAACAGATACGCTATAATTCCCACAAAAAGACATTTACACTGAAATACTTCGGATATTCATTTTCTTACAAATTTACATTACTGCATGTTATAAAAATAGATATATGGTTGTAAACTAAATCACAAAGTAAATATGCTATGGCCATGGCTTGCCTTAGAGTTTCTGGAAAGATGCTCCATTTTCTCCCAAGGTCTCCAGACATCGCGTTTTTCTTCCGATACCGACTTTCTTCCATATTCGAATGGCGCATACTCAACTTGCACCGGTACAAGTACAGTTGCTGGCATAAACTTTATACCGCCACTTATAAATACTTTTTCCGGCATTTGTGGTACTGGTTTTATCAGACTGCCATCCGGCCTACTGGTTTTGTGGGGGATATCAAAACCGACTTCTTGCGATTGTTTTTTAATGCTGCATTCTGTATTATTGTTGCTGTCAACCCATAGCTGACTCACGCCAGATACCATCGACGTTGTTTTGGTTGGAGTGACATTGCTAGTCCAAGGCACGACCGAGGGCGGAAATTTTGTTTTCAAACCCGGACTGAATTGTTTTATCGTTTGATCATCTAGTCTATATTCCATTATGCCGTTTGTGTACTGATTCAGCTTCAAACGTGGTTCTGGCGGTTGTCGTTTAACTTGAGTTCCAGCTCGAGTTAATAATTGTTGATACATGGCGCGTTTTTCGCCGACTGTTCGAGAATCAACGATCTGGCTGAGTTGTGCACTTGTCATCCCAATTGATGACGTAGGTTCTTGTCCTCGGATTGCATCTAGGCGAACGTCTAGGCTCCTGGCTGGGTCAATGCGAACATCCTGACTTCTCACTGGGTCAACCCGAGTATCTTGACTCCTCACTGGCTCAATTCGAACATCCTGAGTCCGGGCTGGTTCAATACGAACCTCTTGGCCCCTGCCTGGATCAAGCGGCAATTCTTGTTTGATCTTATTGTCTTTTGTAGATGATCTTTGATCCACAGTGCAACAGCTTGCTAAATGTTTCATTACGTTGAACTTGATGCTTTCGTCCAAACCGGGAAATCCCATGATCATTCGTGTCACTTCGGAGGCGCATGTGATGAATCCGGCTCTGTATTTGGCCATGGGATCTGCATCCGGATTTTGAACTGGAAAAAGAAAAAATATGTCACAGCGTGGCACTTAGCATGGATACACGTGTTGTTAAAACATAATGGTCAGTCTAATTCAACAATGGTCAGCAGCCTAGCAACGATACTGTAATAGGATTGAATTCTAATCTCGAAAAATTTAAACGAAAATACTGCTCTCAGTTTGTGATAGAAGTATTTATCTGGAAAGTCAATAGAACCGAGAATACTCTTTTATACATTTACTTCATTTGTATTTGTATTTGTTTCTACCTAGCATCCGAAAGTAGTTTCTAGGACACTGAGAAGCTTAAGCTTATCGAACAGTGTACTGGGCCTTTGATGTGACCACACCTTGTGATTTCTACGCCTGGATTTACAGAGAGCTGGCGACTCTCCCCACTCTGGGTGAAAGTTTGGTCATGCCAGGGACTCGAACATCTGACCCTTGGGTCTGTAGTCAATACCTTTAACAACTGAGCCATCCTCACATTTCATTCCAAAGAGAATAAAAATAATTTACCAGACTTAAAATCAAAATATTTTATTATTATCTTACGATCAAGACGATGCTGCTGTGACTTTAGAAAATAACCAGAAACCCCCGTTTTTAACTCTGATATTGAGAAGGCTCGCTCAGACTTGCTTATTTAATTTTTCAATATCAGAAATAAACTTGTTGGGATTTCGCAAATCTTATTATTATTTGACGGGACAATAGGCTGAAACTGACTGTCTAGAAAATAAGGACAATGCGGCAGTAATGATTGTGCTTAAATAGGCTTCTAGTGGCAACATGCCAACGCCCTGATGACATCATCAATTAAGCCCCTTCAGATTAACAGTCACAACATACATTTATTTATATTTGATCGTTTGATCGTTCACTATTTCCATAACCATAACACAGTCAAAGTCTTGTAAATAAATATTCCAAAAATATCACCGAAAAGGATTATGCTGGTAAGAAAAATGTGCTTCATTGGCGCCATGAACGATCTCTTCTGGCCTTTAGTTCAAGGGCAAGAGGCTGTTGGTCGGATCTTGTTTGTTTGCATACGAAATCAACTTGATGCTAAGCTTTTAGCATTAGTTTTATTGGATTGGATATTCTTTTATGGATTATAAACTCGGTAAACCAACCTTGTCTTTCACCTTAAAATAAATGCTTCGAGCAGATCAAATCATGTCCACTGCCATTTCAAGCGACCTAACTGGACATTTGCAGCCGCTATAAAGAAACCCAGGGGGGCTTGGTAAAGAGTCACGTGCTTGTCGTTTGAAATATCGTACACAACACCAATTTGTCGAATACAATAAGGTTTCCTGAAGACGCTGTATGCTTGAATTAAGTAAATTTGATATTTAGGGGGAAACTTCATGCAAGATAGGACATTTTGCGAGTTGAAATCCTAAAATGAATAGTTATGTATTTGAGTGGGTGTTTCAGTAAGATCATTGGCCTAGGCATAAGCAGGCGAAGTTTTGTGGGGATAAAGATTATTGGTTACTCCCAAAAAACAGATACTTCATTGTTATAATTCTAAGTGCTAATTTTACAGTTTGAAAAAACTGAACATCATTAATGAGAGTTGAAATGCAAAAAAACTAATCTACTTTTGAAAACTGAGGCAAAACGATTGATGAACTTAAAAAGGAGATGGAAAGTAACTTTCAAACTTGAAGAAGGTTCGCAGCCCTTCTGTTCAAACTCAAAAACAAGCTTTAAAATTTTGTCGTAAATGTCTACCATTTGTTGGCACAAAAATATCGTGAGTTGACTCGTTTTAAATCCAAAAGTCGAGTGAACTTGATAGACTAAAAGGCTACTGGCTTGATAATTGGTGCTAGCCTGGCTGCCAGCCTTTGTAACTACCGGGCTAGAACATAAAGTCATACACTGAAAACTTTTGGGCACATTGCAAGCTGTATCTCGTATCGTTTATAACTCATCACTTCTTATAGTATTTCTTATACCTTAAATTGATATGTTACTTATATTTTTAGTTCCTGGTCGTCAATGCTAGACACAAAGCCCAGCTTCATCGAGCACTTAGGGTACCCAAGAGGTATGTAGAAATCATCCCCTTGATTTTATGCCGAATTGCAAAGTTTTAAAATAGAAAAATAATAGCTAACTGCGTGAAACAGACTATATAATATGGTATTTTAATTACTGAAAGGCTGACATCTAAATCCAAGCTTAAAATGCCGCCTTTCTCCAGCAGTTGAAGAAGCTTTAAACAAGATAGGTTTAGAGACTCTCTCCCTTTGAGATAGATTCTTATAAGTGAATATCATCTTGCGGTGACTAGTTTGGTAAGGCAAATTGAAAAGGGAAATTTCAAGGGAGATCTCGATATGCTAAGCTAAGCAACTATCAATGGACCATTTAATTAGCATTTGCTGTAATCTCCAATGTACAAACAAGATTTGAGATCTACCTGTCCACAATGAAGACACTGTTTCGCAAATAAATTGTGATGGCTCATTCGCACTGTTTAACGTGCAGAACCTACTTAATTGAACCATTTTGAAGCAATAATTGTAGAAAACCGGGGGATAGAGAGCATAGTCTTATAAAGCAGTGGCGGATTTAAGGGGGGGCAACTAGGGGCAGTTGCTAGTCCCTTAACGAGTTGAAGCAAGTCTGGCGCCCCATTTTTGGAAAATGTGCGCCCCTTTTGAAGAATAAGAATCAGCTGAAAAAGGTTCTGGGACCGATAGGTTAATTTGCTTCAAGGATTACCTCAAAGTTATGCTGTTTATTCTGAAAATGGATCTGAAATTTTTGTATACAGCGTACTCTCGTAACCAGTTTTTGAAAATTTTCCAGCGCCCCCACTACCAACTGCCCCTCCTTCAAATTTGCTCTTGATCCGCCCCTGTTATAAAGATAAGAATACGTCTTTTACCGAACATGATTGTTTTATATAGGTAATTAATTGGTCTCACGTGGGGTGTGATTGGCTCCTTGACTTAGAATGTATCTTCGCAGTTAGTTTCTGTGTGAATATAGTTTCAAAATGGCTAGAGAAGAGGCGACTAAGCTATTCAAGGGTACAGGACCAACGTTACAAAGCTTGTTTTTTGGGGTGTGTTGTGGGGGAGGATGGAATCTTCATTGCACTGCTCAAGCTTGTAAGAAAAAACAGGTTTTAATCTCGAAATATTTAGGTAGCGGCGATCGTGGGATAAGAGTTCTCTTACGATACATAACAATGTTTAAGTAAAAGTGCTCTTAATTAGAAACCAGTATTAGAATTCAGCCTTGTTACGCTTCTTGGGCAAAGCCTTTTCGTGTTCAAGTGATAAGCAGCTGCACCCATTTTTAACCGTTTTAAGGCCTTTCTTCAAAGCAAGAAAATCTTTACAATGCTAATAGAGCAAAAAACAATTTAGAAATTTATAACCTAGACAAATAGAAATTAGCTTCAGGCCTTTTTTTCAATAATCTTTGACGGGGTCGTCAACTGTATGACTGTCCTTCTTTCTAGACACTGGATCTATCTTTTAATGTCGGTGGGTCTTTCTGAGAACAATGCATTAACTCAACCAACTCAACCTAGCACAGCCACTCGTTTTCAAAACCTGAAAGGTCCTCCATATAGACATCTTTCTAAAAGCCAGTTAAGTTCGGCCCTGCATATTTATAAACGTACATTTTGATCGCATCATGTCATATTGCAAAAGGAGTTTTGACCTCCTAAGTTACAATAAAGAGGCATAGTAGGCATCACTACTTAAGCACCACGAGAGGATTGTTGATTACAAAGATATTATTTCAGATCGCATGTTTGAAATAAAGTAGAAAATCCGTTTTGATAAAAGGATGAAAATTGTACACTAGATTCGCGGTGATCACATTTAGCTACTGCATATTGCTAAGCTTCTCACCTTGATATCTTCAATACAGAATTAAAGGATCAGTGACGATCTCATAATATTGATAACCAGATTTAAGTACGACCCTGTATTCTAGGAATTAGCAGCCTGATGTGCGATTTTGAAGGCGTGGTGACGCCTGAATTTGCCGAGCAGCAAAGAGACAAAGTGACCTCTGACGAGAATACACCTGCCAGGTACTAAACATTATATTCTCTATAAACCTGGAGGCAGACCAGTCGGGATTTGAAGGGCGAAATGCTTTAGGTTTTCAAGATCGATTTCTTTGGCACCTTGTATTGCTGATAGGTGCATTTTGATACCCGCAAAAACCTTATCACCTATTGAAGAGAGAAAATAGCTTTCCTCGAGTCACAAACCATACCCAGGGAGAAGTAAAAATATTTGTAAAAGAGTATGTTAAGTTTGTAGAAAACTTTGTTATCGATTGTGTGGCATGGCTAAAGAAATATCAAGCCCTGGGGATCAACAAAGGCATGGTGCATTCATTGATTTACTTAGTCATTTCCAGGAAAATATAAACTGAAAATGCATTGAATCAATTTACAAACTTTTTAATTTCGACCGTAAAATCAGGAAGATGTACCTCTAAATGCGCAAATTAAATTATACCTGTTACCAGTTGGCTGGAAAATTAGATTGCTTGCCTAATCAGATGTTACTTCGTACGCATATCCGAAAATTCTATCAATCGTCTTTTAAAGAACTGGAACTTGCATTATGCTTAAAATAAATGATATATTAGGCGTGGAAATATTGGCGTTTGATATTGACATAAACGAAGTTTAAACTTTAACCAGTTGATTTTTAATTTCAAGCAGTAGACTTTGAACTTTAAGCAGTAGACTTTGAACTTTCAGCTGTCAACCATGACCTTTAAGCAGTGGACTTTGAACTTTCAGCAATGAATTTTGATCTATGCATGAGGAAACCATATTAGCTGCTAATTCAGACAGCCTTTTCAGTGGTATTTGCCTTGGTTGTTATGAATTTAAAATCACATAAGAACAAAATTTTCAAATTTCCGACAAATCATAAAACTCACCAGTTCGGACTTGCTTCTGAAGGTTCCTAACATGGTCAACAGCCATTTCTAAAATATCAGCCTTCTCAAGCTTGGAGTAGTAACTGGCCTATTAAAAGAAGAAAGCCATGAGATTATTTTGTCAACCAATTTTCAAGATGGTATTGTCTTGAAAGTAAAATGCGTTATTGAAAACTGTGTCATTCATTTGCAATCCTGGGTGAAGGCTATTTTGCCAGGAGTATGAACCAGTTCTACATTTTTTGTAGGGGAATTTACTTGGTAGTTTGTAGGACAAGAAAATATCTAGAGAAGTTATACAAAAGGTTTATAAGTTTAAAACTTTACATTTAAAATCAGCAGTATTTTGGTTGGCTAAACAGCATAATATCAAGAACAAACATTCACCAATGCATTTATTTTGCCATTTTAAAAAAGGTATCCTTGATATCTCCTTGCTCTCACTATTGTCTTTCTGCAACTTGCTTTTTCCTTGTTGCTCTGTAACTTGAATTCAAAAAGGATTCCTCCATACTTTGATCTGCATTTCAACTTCTAAATAGCTCAGTTGGTTTGAGCTCAGTTGGATATACCGTAAATTCTCGAATAAGCCCCCATCTTAGAACTACAAATTGTCAAAAAGCCCCCACTGCTACTGTAAATTCTCGAATTGGACCCCCTTCCATTTGGTGATTTTTTCCATCTGAGGTTGCCTATGGCGTTTTATTGAATTACCACAACAAATTCGTACTTGTGGGGTAGTAATTAACTAGGTGCTCATAAAGAAATTCCTACTAAAAAAAAGGAGGTCTTTTAATAATATATTTTTAGGGTCTACGATAATTTTATAAGGCCCCCCTCGTATAAGCCTCCCTCTCGAATAAGCCCCCATCCAAAAATATCAAAATAAATAAGCCCCCAGGGGGCTAATTCGAGGATTTACGGTATGGTTTGGTGGGGATACCAAACTATACGGATTGAAAGTTGTTGAAGTGTGACGTTTTTTGAATAATCAAGAAATGGTAAACATTTTTCTGATCATGTGAAAATATCTTCCACCTTGGTAGCCAGATTTAAAAGCCATCGACGGATACAAAAGTGGGTTGAGCCAGCTGTCAATCAAAATTTGCCAATCAATAAGAGAGTGAGTGGAATCACCCACTGATTGGTCAATTTTTGTTTGAAAGGTGGCTTAAGCTCATTAGGTATCTGTCGATTTCCTTTAGGACGACCACTTCCTTATTCGAAGCTAATTCGAAAATTTACGATTGTTTTTAATGGTTATATTGGTTCATGAATGGTTAAGAGACTCAATCCTGAAGTTAAGTCAACTTGGTCCAGCCCTGGTACAACGATCAAACCAAGCTTTGGACAGAAGCTGTTGTCGTTGGCATGACCTATCTACGTTATATGATACTCGTTTTCCTTCCGTTCTTCTGTTTTGTCAAAGATGTAAATCATGAGATGTGCAACTTCGGAAACATTGCGGATTGTCTCAATCATTTACTTTAAACAAAGTCAGTTAAATCTGTGATAATGAGCTTTTAGTGTACCTGTGTTGATTGGTAAATTAAATTAAATTGCATTAAGTTGGATTAATAGTGAATCTTAAAGAAAACAGTACTGCTTTGTTATAAGGTAAGGATTTCCCCAATGACATTCATTCAAATCTAGTAAATTTGCACGAAATCAAGATATTTTGTCATTCTGAAGTAACTTTTAAAAAGATCAGCGAGGTCACATTTGCACCCTATTACTGAGAAATAGAACACAAATGCACCAGTTTATAAGGATTTTTGCTAAATGTAAACCAATTTTCGTGGAATGATATGCGCCTAGCTTCCTATTTCGTCAGCATCATATCTTATATATGCACTTAATTTAAGCTCTTTCTTCATTATTTCACGTCGTCTTAATGCCCTTCCTACATTTTTCCGCATGTAATTCTGAAAAGTTCCAATCACGGCTTAACTGTCATCCAGCTTTCGAAATTCTTCATTCATAGCCTTGTAAATTCGTTAAGTATTTAAGTAATGATGCCACACGTCCTTTTATCTTACCTTCAATGAAACAAGTAATTTCTTTAAACGGCTAGGCCTCACTAACGTTTCCAAAGGCGTAATTCAATATGACCATGAATTCTAGCTTCCAATGAGATAAATTGAGTTATTAATTTCGTTTCCTTTTATTTGAAATAAGGCGTGCTCTAATTTTCACGTCAGTTGTCACAGCTGCGTCATATTCAGATAGCGTCTGCCTGTCTGAAAACAAGAGCCCAGAAAGTATTTATTCCTTTTCAAGGACAAACTTGCAAAACGTTCCACATAAACAACAAAAGCAAAGGGTTATCTGTGAACGATAGCGTAAATAGAGTTCTAATGTGATGACGTCACAAAAATATTTAGATCATCAGAATTTGAAATTTGAATTGTTCTCTTTTTGCCTTCTAAAAAATTACCCTTGTATCTTCAGGAAAAAAGTTTTTTAAAAATATTATTAAGCAAAGTCGCCTAACGGTAAAATCCTCGCACTCTCACATTTACAAAGTTATGCATTTGCCTCCCGAAAGTGACTGCATCTTGTGACGACCTTCCTCCGGCTCAAAGGCGTGGAACCGTAATGTTTTCAGTACTCAGACTGGCACCCTCTTAGAACTCAAGGATATATGTAGGACTATTGTCTTTTGGAAAAATCCATTATTGGAAAATATCTACTAACAGAGGTTTCGTTGAAAACACGACTTCCCTAAAAATGGCACAAAGATAGGATTTTATAGATTTGTTAGTATAATCCAAGCTCTAACAGATAGAGTGAATGTTCTTTTATTTCATATTCGATTAACAGGCAGTATTAGAGCACATGACTTCTGTTCTAACCCAAATTGAGTCACTTAGCCGGTAAGAGCGCTTTTAAGGACAAAAATAGGTATTAAGAATAAATATAACTCTGGTAAGAAGTGTGTGATTGTGTTCTAATGAACAGAAGGGTTGTCATTCTTTACTCAGAAGGAAAGATTATATCGCAAGAACTTTTCACCAAATAATGATAAGATTTTCAGAAACGTAGCCCCTTTAAGCAATCGTTATAATTGTACTACAACTTCAAAATTTTTCCATCTCCATGACACTTCTAAACAATTTATAAGTCGGCCCTCGAGTGATCAATTTTCCAACCTAGCCATGATAACGTCATTCAGATAAACAGAATCTCCATATTCATACTGAATTTTTTAATTTTTTTTTGGTTAGAGGAGCATAAGAGCCTTAACTTCGTAAAGCACAGTGTATCGAAATGCACGACAATTTAATCAAACCAAGTTTCTCCACCAACTTCATCGAGATAGATCCACTGATTTGGGTACACGACATAAGGCGTATAGAATAATCCATTTTTTTTCCGAAACTAAGCTTAATGGCAAGCTTTTATTAAGAATTTGATTTTGGGTGTTCCTGGCAATATTTTTGGTATTACTGGCAATATTAGCTGAAAGGAAGGTTATCCCTTTCCAACAAACGGCTGAAATTGTCTCAGTTACTCAAGACAATGTGGTCAGAATCTATCGATGTGGAAAAGAATTCGCCTGGCTCGAATGATAGCGAGAGGACGCACATGGATTTACTTCACAGCTAGCATGTTGTGGCAGTTTTTGCAATTGTTCCCTTATGTCAGAATTTTCCAATGATATTAAATCTTGAATCAATGGAAATTATAACCAATGCGGTGGCGCCTTAATACTTAGAACCTGCGATTGCGAAGCCGAATGAAAAGCTGAATATTGCGAAAGGACTTAGCGCAATTCGCGTGAGGAGTGATGGGGGATTTGGTAAGGAGGCACCGGCTGATTACCGTTGAGACAATAGGGCGTTTAGAGGGAAATGCCTTTGAAAGAGGTTGCGGTACCAACAGTGGGTGGACAGTTCTATGCTACGACAACAAGCACTTTCAGCATTTCATGTTTGATTTGAAGGGAGGTTACGGTGCAATTTAGAGATAAGGCTTACAGGGCTAATAAAAGGGGAACGGAAAGTGCCTCCTGGGGACTAATAAGGAGATCGGTACACAGGGGTACAATAGCAGGGTAAAGAGTGGTTTTAGGAGACACGAACTCTTTAAGATTTGAAGTAATTCCCTGTTGCTACAAGATCATTCTAGCCCACCCAATCCATTCTATAAATTCCTACTTGACTCGTATCGAAGCCATTCAGATTATCTTAATTATTCCAATTGGTGTTATATTTTTTTCCGCGATCTAAATAAACTAGGCCAAGTTGACCAATGAACTGTTAAAGCAAATACAAAAGAACATCGTAATTATAAATGTTGCTGTCCTACAAAGAACTTTTTTATTCCTTTGACAGAGGACAAAGTTGTAGACACAGAGCAGGGATCTTTATTCTATGTTATAGAACCTTTGTTTCCAGAACAAGTGGCTTTGTGCTATAGCCGATCTAAGTTTCGGTTCTTTTCCGAACTGAAACACACAAATTCCGCTTGCGTCATTTTCTTTTAAATGGTTTAGAATTTTTGGGACATGTTTGCAATACAGTCGCTGGGACAAGATTTGACCGTTAGCTAATTACCCTGATATTTGGGTAACTACCAGTTATCGTGCACGTCTGAATACTAAAAGCAAGGCTTTGTAATGAAAAATTCAGAGGAGATCTTATCATTTCTCCTACGTGTTATTGGGCGTTAGGTACGTATATTGAGCATTGGCAGAAACTCTGTTAGTAACGTGTCTTATCATGACAGGGGGTGGTGCTTAACGAGTTTTGCAAAAGAACCCTCCTTTTTGGCGCCAAGACATTTGTATCTCTAGATTGCGTGCAAATCAACTTTAAAAGCTCTTGAGCAACCAGAATACTTTGCAAATATACCTTCAAAAATGGCCTAATATCGAACTGCATGAAAAAATCAGATACAATCTATTTCTCTTTGCGTAAAACACCGCTACCGCAAAGCATGCCGATTGCGCAAGAGCCTGTAAGGAATTTCATTGAACGGCTTTCGCTCATTAGAGTACAGAAAGGGCTTATATTTCTCCTGACAGTACCTTCATAGTGTTAAAGTCGTTATCAGAAAGCAATGCAATCTAGGCGTGGCTTGGGTGTGGCACATTATGATCTAGAATTCTATTTGAAATCTGGTAGCCGTTGATTCTGCAGCATTAAGATCCTTTTCCCTTTCAAATCATGGTGGTCATTAGGCCAATGATCGCGAGGAAGACCAAAATAGCATAAACTGGTAGTGTCTCACCTTTCCTGTTTTTTTCCTTGGAACTTTTTCAGATTTTGATTTTCCATATTTTTCAGCTTTTGAGTATCGACTGATGTAAGGATTAAAGGCTGTTGCGCAAGCGGCATGCTTCGCGAATATATTTCCAAAACCGGCCTAATATCATGCTGCATGAAAATACAAAACGCAGTCAATTTCTCAAGACAGCTGCCGCTAAGCATGCCGGTTGCGCAAGAGACTTTAACACTTTTCTTGACTCTGGTAGGGTCTTGTTAGTTTCAAATGAAGTGTAGGTTGGGATGACCACTTCAGTTTTACAAAAACCCAATAAATTTTCAAAAAGGGAAATAATTTGAATGAAACTGAACATACATCCTTCTTCATGGCTCCAAGAATCAACAGCTTCAATTCATCGAGGCTATTGTTTATTCTTTCTCGTCTTTTCTTCTCCATCTGAGGTTTATTTGACTGAAATGAGAAAATACTTAACATCAACATTAAGGAATTTTATTGTTAACTGCTCTGTTTATAAGTGCAATAAGACGTATAAGCAGGGCAGTAGGCAACTTAGAACCGTCCTTTTCTTTAAACCAATGTTTGAAATCGGAGTTAAAGAATCCAGAAAGCTGCCTATGCATCTGTTGTTGTTAGACGCGATGCTGTTTATACCCAACCCCTATTACAACCGATATATCCACCACAGTAAAATCAAGAAGGCTACCTTATATAATATAGAAAAGATCTGTGGCAAATAAAAGACTGGTGACTGGGAAATGACTGGAGCCCAGTCTTCCTTCTTCTCAACTAGACGCTCCTCCGCTTCTCTGCTCCTTTCCCTATTTCCGCCCTCGAATTTTTGTGGCTTAGATACCCAGGAGAGTCTGGCTACGCATTACAAGTCATGTTTTTCAGTCAGATAAAAAATGGAATGTTCAGAATAAAGGAGGTTACTGCTTGCGTTACACCACATTTGGCAAAACCCTTTTTGGCCATTTGGCAAAACCTTTCTGGCCACTTGGCAAAACCGTTACACCACAATTGGCAACACCTCACTTAACCACATTTTGTATCAACCTCAAGCCAGTTTATTGCAGTTTTTTATTAAGTACTGATTCACAGTAAAATTAATTCCAATTTCGCCTTAACATGTTGATTTCTCCCACATCTGTTGATTCTATTCGGACATCAGGAAGCTCGGTCATTACTAAATTTATTGTATCGTTCAAAGGCTCGCAATGCTAGTCCCAGAATTACACATCATGTATCCATCCATATAATTAACTGCTTCAGTGGAAGCGACATTGTTTTTACTTGCAGACTGGTTTCAGTTCAGGCCTGAAGGCAATGGTAAATCATATCGGAAGCAGAAATGAAATTTTTGAGATAACCAAGTTCGATAATCTTTAAGTGTTTTACCATTCCTAGATTACTCTTGTTGAATGCGAGGCAGCTGTCAAAACCAAGACGGAGGGTTTTGTTGGCAAAGATTTGGCCGTGAAAATTCCAAACTGCTTGCTTTCAAAAACCTACAACAAGGGTATAGCTGGGGGTGTATGGGGTGTGGAACCTCTTAATTCTTCATGATTTGGTCGGTAAACTTTCAGTTGGTCCACAAAACCTTTTTTGGTCGGTAAAATCGCCTATCAGTAGTTGAAACAGCATAAATTTTACTAATGATTTGGAAGGTTTAGCCTGTGTTCCAGACCTCTACGTTAAGGGTCTGGAGAACAGGCTAGGAAGGTCAAACTGCACCACTAGTCTTAACCCGCGACTTGTCCTCATTTTATTGGCATTGAAAAACCCTCTCAACTTGTTGTTATTCGCACAAGTTTGGTCTTATTGTTCAAATGAACATTTCGTTGCACCGAAGGAGAGCAATTAGGCCGTCGGAAGAGGGGGACAGGGAGGAGAGTGCTGAGGGGATGCTATAGGCGAAATCACTTCAAAAACGACGCATTATCCCCAAAACAAAATAATAAATAGGAAATGACAGATCCCCCCACCTCCCCTCAAACGACAACCCTGAGCAATTTTTGAAATGATCTGAACTGATTCTTGATCTTATTTACTTAATCCATAACATACTTAAATTGAAGCATGTTTGTGTCTGCAACGTCATCTCATAAAATAGCGTGTGAGGTCAGAGACCCAGCCCCTTTTCCTTAATCGTTAAGGCTCCAAGATGTGTTCCCTTTCTGTTGAAAGTTGCCTCGGATAAGGTTTACTTCTATAAAACCTTTAGTCAAACTATCAGTGAATTTAAATGAAACTGTACCCTGATATTGGTTAAAGAACAGCCTCCATCCCGTACAAAGTGGAATTTAAACTCATACGAATCATAATACTAGTTGATACCCCCCCCCCCCAGCTAAATGTGCATGCTATATTCCTCAGCTTTTAATACCCGAAAGAGGGAGGCGAAACTCTCCCAGACATGTCATGCTGAAATTTCAATTAAATCGGTTGGTAAGGTCAGCGAATCCAGGGTGGCTTCAAAGCTGCTACCCAGAAGCCCCTCGTCAAGGCACATTAAGCTAGCGAACCCTTTGGGGGATCGTTTTCCATTAGTATATAGAGAACAAGAGGGACTATTTCTACAAATAAGTATAACGCACAGATTCTTAACTATAGAAATCTCATCATATGTTTTCTTTTCTCTCATGGCATCACAATAAGATTTACACCCCTAAATTGATTCTGAAGTTATAGCGTATCGCTAGATTTTCTTAATTTTCCAGGGGTCGAAGTATATATTTTTTCTATGTAGGTGCTATCCCCCTTCTCCTTATTGCCTCAAAAAATGTTCCCTGATTGTGTCAGAAACTTTATAGGGATCAACTTGAAAAAATAATGCTTAAATAAGGTAATGGAAATTTATAGGTAAGATATTCGAGTTCGGGTACTGTAGCCAATTACTAATTTATTGTTGTATGCACATTATTATTTCGAATAAGCTACAACTGGCTATACTAGGCAAGGTAGTGCAAGTTTGCAACTTCAAGCCGTTGAATTAGCAACTAAGTATTACCCTAAACTAGGCTCATTCCTGCGATCTATCTATACGAATTTAATCGTTGACAATTCCTTATCCGTACAACAACGGAATAAGAGCCTATATTACCCTTTGAGGAGAAAGCCAATGAGGCTCTCTAAATCAGCTTCTTTCGTCTTGAAATTTATTTATCGTGCAGTTTATAAGATTTATTTCGTCTTGAAAATTATCAATTCCATTCACCTTAACTTCCACTAACGTTCATTTGTACAAATAGTTGAAAGTATAGATGAACGTAGTGCCAAAAAATGTTCCATTTTTAAAAATGACTGATAAAAATGATCGAATATTGCAAACAGAGTTGATCTAATAGCAACTAAGTTATTGTGAATCTTCAGAATTAGAGAGGAGGAAAGGTGAAAGAGACAAAAAGCGTACCTTTTTAGGACTTTTTTGCTTTGATGGTGAATTTTTCTCTTCTTCTTCCATCTTATCTGCTGCATTTGTCTCTTGTTCTTCGACTGACATCGCAATCCGCTAAAATGCAGACGCCAAATCGCGAAAAATTCTCCTTTGCGCAAGCTACTTTGGTAGTATACACTGAACCATGGAAAGCACTCAGACAAAATAACACCGCGTTAGCCTGTTCTGTTTTTTGTATAATAGGCATATCCCCCCGTTCCATCATCACAAACATGACAGCCATCTTATGGCAGTCGTGCGAAAGCGTAGAAAGGAACGAAGACCCCGTGGGAATGGCTCGTTCTGATTGGCCAGGGCAAATGTCGAGGCAATAGTTTTACATAACGTATTGTTCCGCGCGTGCCCTTCGATTGAGACCAGACAAAAGGGCATAAGGAGATTGTATTTAGCAGTCCGCAAAAATTTTCCCGCCTTTGTTCAAGAAAACAAAGAGCTGACTTTTTCCCACGAGCGAGTTTCTGAAGCTTGATCTCAGAAGAGGCACAGTACCAACGTACATGAGTCCTCAAGGTAAAAATGACGTTGAGATTTTGATTGAAAGGCATTTGAAATTCTCATTGGCAGTCTTAGATGGGCGAAAGTGTTCCTCCTCTGAGATGGCAGTAAACAGGAGCGTTGCTTTGCTGAATATTTCTGCTATTATGATTACAACAGATCAGAAGATCAAACGACAGCTTTGACATGATTTATCGCAAGCGGGATGATCTTATAACAAATGCGTTTACGCCAAGGTCACTTGACCAAATTCTCTATTTATCTTTTGCGGCGCAGACATCAAGGCTGTGTCTTGGCCGGCCCGAGAGGTAACTTCTTCGTAGCCCTTTGGCTTACGTCATCCCGCCTTAACATAAAAAACCCATTATTACACTGAATATAGTAAAGTTCACCATTAGAATAAATCGTCCGCTATCGGGAACTTAAAATACTGGAAGCATTCAAACAACAAATAAAAACTTTGCTATGCTGTTTCCAATTTTATAAAGAATGATAGATTAGGTAATGCCACAGTGTTGATACATAATCACCATTATAAATTTTTCCCATGCTCTACAAATTCTCCACACTTTATATGTGTTCTGACCCATGATAAGGAAACGCGCCCATCCAACTACATTTGTCTCAATGCTTCTTACCGGTATCAAGAGTTGCAGAATTGGTCATCAGAGACATAGTCCCATCTGTGTCCGCTCTTAGGAGGATTTCTTTGTTATATACCAACAGTTGCAGACATTTTCCCGAATAAACAATCGATACAAATGTGCGATCATCCTGTTTTTTGCCGAAAACGATTCAAGTTAATATCTTGTTGTAAATACTCACACGGGGCACCATGACTTTGATACATTCAAGCCAAATTACCTAACCGTCCGCCAGCAGATATGGACGAAAGATGAATGGGAGCCATCAAAGTGAACGGAGCTAATGAGCTTTGTTAAAAGCTGCATCAATGTCTTCAAACAAAAGATTTAAGAGTTAGACCCCGTTTACACTGTCCCGTGCGTGCGAGTTTGGAACTATGATTTTGCTCAGCTGTTCAGAAAAGTTTTGACCATGCTATAAAAGCGGACGATTTTTGTACCGTCACGGTTCCGTTTTTGAATGAAACAGTATAAACGGACTCTTATATTCGAAAGTTAAAGATTGACCGAGTGATGACGTCATTCTGACATTGCACACATAAACAGAGAGAAAACATTTCTGTGTCGTATTAATCTGATTTTCAAGGTGATGCAAGTATCTATTTGAGCCTATGTCATCCAGGTTCATAAATTTCAGAATACATATTAATGCCGTGAAACAAATCGCCGATCTTCTTGATGAAACTGTTGGTCTTCGTGGAAATTTTCAAACTCTTTTTAGTGCTAGATAACAAACAATGATTTCACATTCATTTCACTGAAAATAATTCCATTTTTCAATGAATTAGATTGTCTAATCATTGATTTTTAAATCGAGAAACACCTTTTCATCCTTTGGGTATTATAGGACGATTTTTAGAATTCGAGCGTTGGGTTGGTGCGTTTGCAAAAATAATTTCGATGTGATCGCAGTAAAATAATGTGACAGAGAAACCAAAGTCTTTTCATTGTACCAAATAAAGAAAAGTAACTAGCAAATAATGCAATTGATTGTATTATTATAAAGGTTTTACTTTTAAGTAAAACGTTGCCTGTTTGAAATATTTAGTTTTAACCAGGCCCGTAGAGAGTAAACTTTGGCCCCGGGGCTGTTAGCAACACGGGTCCTTGTGCAGGAGTAGTTTCTCAGGGGCAAGAAGGGGCTTGGCGCCCGTCCCACGATAATCTCCAAAGATTGCTTAGTGAAACAGAAATTTTAATTAATTGCAATTTTAATCTGATGAAAATTCAAATTGGAAATATAATTCGTGTGAACTTTCAAGAACTGTATATTTTAAACATTTAGACATTTTCTGCAAACTCCTTTCTCCATTAAGGAATCATTATTTAGGATGTTAACTTTAAAGTTAATACGAGATCCAATGTATCTTCTACAAAAGAAAATTTCTCAGAATGTTGCCTTGCAGAGTTTACATCTCCTAAGACACAACTCTTCTCTAATTTTAAATACAACTTTCCTAAGACACAACATCTCCAAAGACACAACTTTCCTCCTTTCTGACTAGCCTAAGATTAAAATACAAACGTTTGTTCACAGATATGTAAATATGATTTTTTTCCTTTTTTCATCATTTCTTGCCAACCTTTTTTCTCTATGATGCGTCATTATCATTTTAATTATCAGCTACTATCCGAAAATTTAAGAGGCACTTTCTCTATCTTTTCCTAGGCCCGTTCCATTTAGGCCCTTCAGCAATCTTGTTTCATTCAATACTGGGCTGACGACTATTAGAGTCAATGAAATACACACCCTTCTGCATACCACTGAGATACCTTAAATCGAAAACAAAAATCTTTTTTTCAAAATGATACCCCAAAATTGTAATCATGCTAAAACTCACCCCCAAAATTTATCACCAAAATTATTTTCAACTTGAAAAAGACACCCCTAATAGTATACATCCCGTGCCACTAGTTTTTGGAAGTTTCTTTCGGTTCAGTATCTATCTGCCTATGAATAAAAATGAAAGCAAAGATAATAATAGTTATTTTAACAACAGAAACTACCTTTCTATTTGGAGAAATTTCTCTGCTTAAATACAGTACCGATGTAGCAGGAAAAAGGATAAGGGCAGTGGCGTGATTGGCACGGAGGTGGCATGGAAGGTTACATAGAGTGAAGTTTATCGATAAGGCCATGGATGAAGAAAGGTTTTGTTGTTATTTCACCTACTGTCAGGTGATTTTACCAACCAATCAATAGTTGTGTTGACGAATTGAAGATTAACTGAACAACTCAAGAAAAAAAATCAGAAAAATTTATGCTTGCTCAAAATTTTACTTTTAGAAACCAATCAGGTTCAATCATAGGGAATTTTTTGGAATTTTCTTATAGTTTGATGTTTGGTGACCTCCTGTTCGTATATAATCTCACAGGGCTGGCTATTAAGACTAAAAAAGGACTTACTCTTTATGTGAGAGTTATCTAGGCCAATTTTTGCTTTTAGTCAAAACCACCTAAATAGATAAAAAAAATTGACAACAAAACAGAAGAACTGAGAGAGCAGCTTGATAGCAAACCATTAACATTGTGGATTTTATTGTTAAGTCGTGACTCAATACTGATGACATTGAAGGATAAAGAGGTGATAGTGAATTGGGCTCCTATTAAGCCAAAATAGCTGAGTTACTGTTATTTGCTGCTACAAGTTTTCTGTGTGGTAACGGAGGCAGCCGACGCCTTTAGAAATTTTTCTGTTCAGGGCCCCATTATAATTAGCATTAGTAAAACGATATAGAGAGAATATAAAATGCTAATCAAGAGATTTTTCATTCCATTAGACTGAGATATCATGCTGGTTTGGGGCCACTTGAACTCGTTTATCACTTCCAGAAAACCAGCTTCACAATAGAATAACATAGACAGCATTTTTCTGGGGACCCCTAAATACTGGTGCCTCTAAAGACTTTTGCTGAGGGACATCTTTGTTAGTTAAAAGAATCTTTCGTTTCTAAGCTCTTTTTGTGTATATAGTTACCAGGGAATTTGCACCAAGAGGTGCATGCTCTACCAATTCTTAGAAACTTGTTGAAATGTCCATATTTTTCGATAACCAATACACTTTTGAGTCGAAAAGATGCAACAAGATGATACAAACAGGAAACACATAGGCGCCAAACAGGGGGTGGTCTGGCCCCGGTTTGGGGCGTGGCGGAAAAAATTGAACCACACCCACTGGAAATGAAACCTTAAAATACGGTTTATTTAATAAAAATTGATAAAAAACAATGTGTTGAACAGCAGCAGTATATCGATTTTAATTCGTAAATTCGGACCCAACTGAATCCATCATTTCCTCACGTGTAAACTGGGTTTAAAATCTCATGTAGAGTTATAAATCAAGATCAAAATTTATTTAAGCTCTCAGAGTTTTAACTCTTTACGAAGAAGTGCAGATGAATCAGCAACTTGGTCAGTGACTTGCACGTAATCAAGTGGAAAGTTTTCTCTTCGCTTGAAATTATCAATAACAAAAGCAATTGGTTGACTGATAGTGGAGCGCAACTTTTTCTTAATAATATTCAGCTGGCTGCAGTCATCACACATTTATACGCATTGTAGAGGGAAGGATATGCAGCTATGTGCCTGTTGTATTCACTCTTACCGTTCTCTATTTTTGCAAAAATCTGAGGCTAGATTGTTCCCAATTTTTTCATAAATTATTAGGGTGTAAGCTGTGCGATTGTTAGCTTTTTCGCCCTATGGAGGTGTTCAGGCACAGAATAGAAATGACAAATCATTTCTATATTGTGGTTCAGGCCTCATTTACTAACAAAGTGAGTGAGACAACCTTCATTTGACGTGAAGATTGAATATTCACTGAAAAGCACCTACGCGTGACTAAAAATCCTCGTTTTTGAGATTAAATCTTGTTCAAAATTGCATTTTACAGTAGCTCAGCCTTAGCTTGTTTTTGATTTGTTTTCGAATTTTGACCAATTTTGATGCTCGTGTTCTAATAAAATTGTTTTTGTGAATAAAAAGAGCGTAGGTACAAAGTTTTGAATGCTCAGGGTATGCACAGTTGGCAAGCTTCTACCCTTTTGATACAGGGTGTCGATGTCGACTTTGGGGTCCTTTCTCTCTCTTTGTGAATCCCCACCTTGAAAGTCACAGTTTTCTTCTCCATATGTTTCTTCTCTGAGAGCTTGTTCCTCGAAGTCATCTTCTTTTTCTGGATCTCCATTTGCACTTATTGTTGTTTTTATTTGAACAATATGCTGCTGGTAGAAATGTGCAAATGCCAGTAGTTCTTCCCTGAGCATTTCCAAGCTGGCATTCGCATAGGAACAAGAGATACTTCAAGAATGTATATAATCTCTGCCAGATATGTAAAAGATATTTTCAATTTTGAAAACTTATATTGCTACTTTAATTAAGATTCTTTGGTAATCTAATCTTCTAAAAGAAGCCCAAAGATTATATTTACAAGGAACTGTTTACATTTAACATAAGAAGGGACCCACTGCATTTCAATTACCCACGCCATCCCTGTCTGACATCTCAGTTTGATAAGGACCAGAGAGAGGCTGAATCTTCATAAAAACTGCGCCTCTTTCCCATTTGTAACCAATATTTATATGGGGGAGACGCAATAAGATCTTCCCACAATTGGCAGTCCTCTGTTTACAGGGTTATGGTATTTAGTCATTCATTGATTTAATGGTTCATTTGGGAACCAACTGTCACCCCGTCTCAATCATTTGTCCGGTGTTTCAGAGGCCGTGTGAATAACGTTATGAAGAAAATAGCATTGCAATGCATTCTTAGTCTGTGGTTAACCCTAATATTAAACAGCCGTTTCCCGGAGCAAAAGTAACTTTGGTTCACAATGTCGGTTTTATTGCCAATTTAAAGTTCAATTACCAAATACAAAACTCGCGGATCGGGAGAGATTGACAAATTTAGTATCAGGTTATATGTGTCGCAGCCAAGTGAAAAAGACTTCATTCTATATATGTCACAACTACCAGTCGCTTCCTTGACTTATTTTATAGCCATGACATCTCTTACTGAATTTGGTTGGACGTTAAAGCTTGATTAAGGCAAAGTTTGACTTTAAAACACAAAATATAGTCAGATTGAGAGATAAAATAAGAATGGCAAGGCTACTAAAAAATTACACCTCTACTGATCTGTGTTTTCCTATCGACCCAATTCCATTCCTTCAAATTATCCACACTTTGCTACTCATACAGGGCCATGGCTCAAGAATTTTCCAGACAGAATGA